AAAGCTAACTAATACCTGCAGCTAATGACAAACATCAAAATAAATTCTAGATTAAAATTAAAACACGGAAGTGATACTGTATTTTAAAAAGTGAAGAAAAGTTAATATATACTTGATCTCATAGTAAAGACTCAAATATACATATACGAATAGTTACAAAGGATAAGAGTGATATAGTTGATGATCAAACATCTGGCATACACACCATAATACTCACTAGATCTTTCCAGGGTATGGTTGCTAGATTTAGCAAACAGAAATATAGGTTGTCCAATTAAATTTGAACTTCACATAAAAAACAAGTAACTTTGTAATATATGTACAAATGTTTTATCTGACAACTATTCTAGGGGACAAGACAGGGATGGTTTTTATTTTCCTTTTTGAGCTCTATTTTCAAATCTGAACATTTACTAACTTGTATTTCTGATGTGTAAAAGACAAACATAACACAAAAGAAAAAAGTCCATGGGGTTGGCTTGGAGAGAAGTGTATCAAGAACTCTGAGGTAAGAATCTGTCATAATATATATGGAATTCTAATGCCAGCTCTCTCTTCCCAGCCATGATACTCTGGTAAGTCAACCCCTCGTCTTTCAGTAGGGCTACAATAATCTTTCGAGATTCTTTTTACTCTGCTGCCTGGCTGACTGCTTCTGCTGTCACTGCCACCATTTACCACTGCACATACTTGCCTGACACTGCATATAAGCTATCTGATTCTATGTTTGCAACACTGTGAGGTAAGTATTTCCACTTTACAGATTGGGACTTAGATATTAAGAAACTTGCCTAAGGCCATACATAGGGACTAAAATCCAAGTTGGTCAAACATCTATGTCCATGTTCTTAACCACCATGTTATACACCTCCTTCAATTCTAAAAACACAGTGGGCAACAATTTATAGAATTATAGGGGTTTTTTTGGTGATAGTTTCTAGGTTTATTAAAATAATTTATTTCTTCTAAAACTAAATTTAGTCTCAAATAACCTAGTTTCACTTGATTTACAAATTCCTATTCTGGAAGGACTATAATTTCTACTTCCAGCCTGCAAATTCCTTAACTTACAGCTTACATTAGTTGCTCAGTGCAGTAATACTATGCCTACTCTGGGGTTACATTCCTGAAAAAATACCTTGGCTGGCACCGTTGGGATCTCATATAAAATCAGGGGCTGGAGGAATTTTTAAGTAGCAAAGAAGTTCCAGAGTTATAGAAAACTCTGGGTTAGGAAAATAAGGAATTCTCTGGTATTAAAATTTTGTTCTGTGGGATAATTCATCATTCCACTGAATCAACTCCAACTGTTTCAAAAATATTGTTTCAGGTTATAAGCTGCTAAGGTGGATATTCCTATAATTCTGTGTTATGCAGATTATGCATATTTTTAAAGTTTCATTGGTATGAAAAATAATATACTTTATACTTTTAATTTTATTTCTGAATGGGTAAGATAGTCACATAGTTCAAAATTCAAAATATACAAGAGAGTAGAGTAAGAAATTTCCCTGGCATCCCTGGCTCCAGCACCGTTTTCCTCCCCAAAAGTGATCAGTGCTATCAATCTTTTATGTATTCTCTCAGAAATATTTTTGCATAAACAAATACACACATACATTTCTTTTCCCCATTTCTTACACAAATGGAAACATACTACACATTAGACTATGTATTAACTTTTAAAAAAACTGAATCTCAGAGAATGTCTCATACCTGTATGAGCTTCATTCTTATTTAAGGTTGCATAGTGTCCCATTGTATGAATGCACTATAATTTTATTCAACTAGTCTTGTGCAGATTGTTTCCAATTGTTCCTGCTACAAACAATGATTCAATGAATAAATCTTATTTGTATATCATTTCATATGCATGTGAGTTTACGTGTATGTGAGGTTCCTAAGAAGTACAACTGCTAGAACTGTCCTTCACAGAGCTGGTACAAATTCTCACCCCCACAGCAGTGATGGAGGGGCCTCTTTACCAATAAAATGTTAGTGAACTTTTTGATGTTGCTCAATCTGATAAAGGAAAATAGTATTTCAGTGTAGTTTTAATGGGCATTTCTCATGCTTTAAGTGAGGGTGAATTTTCATTTTTAAGAGTAATTATATTTCCTTTTATCAAAGTAAGTTTGTTCATGTACTTTGTCCATTTTCAACTTTATTTTTGTTCTTTTCCTTATTGGTTTGTAGGAAATTTTGGGTTTTTATTGAGTCACAAATATTTTCCCTGCTTTGACATATCTTTTGATTTTTCTTATGGTGGTTTCTGCCATGCAGAAATTTTTCTGTTTATATGAATTTATCCATCTTTTGTAGTTTTCGGGTTTTTTTTTTTTTGGTCATATTGGAAATGCCTTACTGTCTCTGACATTAAGAAAAATTTTTCCATGGTTTCTCTTATTATCGTTATAGTTTCATTTTTTTACATTTACATTTCTAAACCATGTAGAATCTATTCTGATATGAAGTACGAAGTTTAGATTCAACTAACTATATTTTATTCCAGATGGTACCCATTTTTTGAACTTACTATATACCCTACTACATTCTTATTTTCTCTTGTTTAATGTGCGCAATCTTTGTAAAAATGATCTTTTCACAAATTACCAGCTAGTTAATGACATGTTTTTGGGTCTGCTTTTTGCTACTTCGTATTAAACAGGTAAAACATAAACAGATCTTGCTTTATATGTTTTAGAGTAATAGCCACCCAGCCTATGGGACAAGGAAGCAGATAATTGTATCTTTCCTCAAGAAAAATGGATGAAATAATTACATGTATTCAAAGAGACTCTAGATTTAACAATTTTGTTACATAAATTTTAAAAATATTTTAAAATTGAGTTATCATAAAAATCTTGATGACCGAACTACTGATAACAAAACTGCTCTGATTTATATTATGTAATTTATATATACTGTATGTAGCTTACAAACTAACCAGAGTATCATTTTGTGATGCAATTTTCAATGTTTGAATAAAGAAAATCCTAAAACATATCAAATCAACGGAAAAATATCAAGTCCACGGAAAACCAAGAGCACAAATTGAAAACATCAGATCATTTCTGTGAAAATTTGACATCTATTCAAATGTTTTACGCATCCTAAAACAGAGAATTTTTTAAAGTGGAATAACAGTAACGGGAAGAAGATAAAAGTCCCTGGAATATACTTAAGATAAAAATATGGCAAATAAAGCTGATTAAAATTCTGAAATAACAATAAGAACAAAATATAGCCTGAAGGGGTAAGGCATATTACTATGAACAAGATACAAACCATAAATATATGTTGAACAAAGGAAGGGTTAAGTACAGTCTTATCATCATGTGACTTCTTTAAATTGACCACACAAATTTAAAAAAATCAACTTTACAAAATCAATTTTACAAATATACAAAAATCAATTTTAGTATGTTAATTAGGCAACAAAATAAGGAAGACACCTTAGTAAGTCACTTATTTCACCTGCTTAAATTCAATATGTAAAAATCAATGACTGATTACTAAGACAGTGATGGTATTATCATTAAGATTATCACTGATAGAAGTACTAAAATGCATGAGAAGTTAATCACATTAGACAAGTCAATACACTTAATATTGGAATATTTAATACTGGAAATTCCTCTCTTTCATAAGAATAACCTGTTTTGTGTTAGTTTGCAATTCTGGACATTCCAGATCAAATGTGTAAATTGACTAGTAAATTTAAAAATGACTATTCCTTTTAAAGACCTATTTGCCAAGTACTATTTTGCATTTATTACTTATTTTAATCCTATAACTCCTATAACTCTAAAAAATAGGTACTATTATTTCCCCAATTTTAGATCGGAAAACTAAAATTAGAAGTTTAAAAACTTGCCTAATGTCACACAATTAATTACTAAGTCGCATCACTGGTCTTACTACACAGTTAACGCCTTTAGGCACTGTGTTATACTCATCACAAATACAGTTGTTTAAAAAAACTATGTCAGATAACTTGAGAAATTTGACAGTGCTTAACTAAATACAAACTCTATTTTAACTGAGAGTAAAACAATATTTTAAAAACCAAAATTATTCCTTTGAGATTAGCATTTAGTAACCTCATTTCACTTATGCTATTTCTATAACTTCAAATGTGTTAAAAGGACAGTATCTCCACTAAGCTATGGCAGAATTAACCGAGAATGTAAAATAAGCACCTAAAATCTTCCCTGCTATTCAGAAACACATGTACTACATATGTAAATACAAAGAAAAGCTGAGATTCAGCAAGGACACTTTTTGTATACAGAATAGAAGAAAAGAACAGCTTTAGGCTATTACTACAATAAATCTAACTTCCAAAATATGATTTATGATTTTGGGAAGTGTTATAGAAATTAATTCTTTAAAAACTCAACTGAACATTGTAAAAACTACTGAAGCCATAAGCATTCTTATGTTTTACATTAGTTTTCCGTATATAAGAGAACATATAAAAGCACATATAAATATTTGTGCCTGCGTAATATGTTAGTCTTATAAATACTGTTTTAAATTATCCAAAAGTGCAATCTAAGCCTCTTACTTTCCGTCTTTCGGGTCCACCGAATGCAATATGCCTTGCTTCTTCCACAGTCTCACAGACAAGGCCATTTCCACACACAAACTGAATAACTTTCTTCAGCTGAGGAAACTGAGTCTTTATGACATCAATCACCATTTTACAGCCTTTAATCTCCCTTAGTCTTTCATTGATTGGCTTGATCTAAAAGGTTTAAAAATACTTAGTGTATTAAAATAAAAACCAAATACTCACTATATTCTTTCTCAAAAAACATACATAAGCATGACAACAAATGATCAATAGTATGCACTCACATACAATAAACGTTTGACAAGATCAATATCCTGCAATTGGCTTGCATAATATTTTTTTAAAAACACAGTTCATAAAAAGCCAGAAGATATAATTTCCAGATTCAATTCTGTCACTAAGTAGCTGGGACAAAGCAATGCATGAGAAGCACTTCATGCACTCAAAATCATAAAATCTAGTGGGAGATAATACCCATTTATATACTTCTAAAAGAGGAGCACAACTATATGGAACGCAAAAAATCATTTTAGGTTTAAATGATCAGGAAAGCTTTCAGATCTTCTTTGACATGACTTTTAAGTTGGGCCTATAAAGAGATCAAAACACATCTACGTATAACTAAAAAAAAAAAACAGTAAAACAAAGCAAAACTCCTGTGTGTGTATGTATACATATATGTGTGTGTGTGTATATATACATATATACATATATATATAGGAAGCATATATTTATATAAACTTATATGTATGGAAGCAATCTAAAACAGTAACAATAAAGGAATTGGGCATGAGAAGACATAAGGTATTT